CACCTCCTCAGTGCTTTCTGAACAACGTAAAAAAAAAAAAAAAAAAAAAAAAAAGTCTCAGCGCTATTATATTATGGAAAGGATATTCCTGGGTGCCGTTCTGGACACGGGTAATTCTAGACTCTATCCAACCTCAATACCAACTTGTGAAATGTGTCACATAAAATCCTGGAAGGGGGACAAACTCCATGTGTACGGCGCCACGCCCACATAATCTAGGACATATTAGCCAATTTGTGTCTTATGCGGCTAAATTAGTAAACTAAACGTGACATTGTAGTCCATCACAGGAGTGAGCTTGGAGCGGTAACTACATTCCAGCACACACAGGGACCATGGGGAACACAAGCAGCCCCCCTCCAGAAGGAAGGACAGTGTCAGCACCAATTCAGAGATAATTGGAGGATCTACAGCCGAGTGATACACAAATGAGATACATTTTTGTTTAGTTAAGGAACTTGAATGTATTAAGATTTAACTCCTGAGTTTAGTGTCACTTTAACTCATGGCGCATCCCATTCAAAATGACCCAAATGGAAAAATAAGGTTCAATGCAGGAAAAATGCAGCCGGAATGACACGGGACCAATGAGACACAAAGCAATCAAATGTTAAAGATGTTTAACACGTAGATAAATATTGGCGGGGTGTAAAGGCAGCGAAATGAACAGAAATGCGCCTCTAGCATGAGACTACCTAAGAAAAAACTCTTTATAACCGGCACCTTAGGTCTGGAACACACAGACACATATATTAGGTATATTAGGTGTAGTAGTCCGGTACTCTCTACTTGCTGTTCCAACTCAAAGTATGAGAAGTTCTGAAGGAAGTGTTATTGTGGAGGATACAAAGGCAACTTGGCAGTATGTACTACAATATGCCATCAGCTATTGGTGCAAGCCTCGTTCTGTCTGGTTTTAAAGTGACCAATGCCATTCCATCTAGCGATAATGCGAGATCACCTGCACTCCATGCCGCGTACAGACCTTAATGGAAGGTTGGTGCTTGAAGTGACAACACGGTTGGCGCCGTGTCAGATACAGTCCCCATAACAGAAGTCAACAGCACTCAACGATATGTGCAAGTAAAGCACTTATTATATTGTCACATGCGTCATACAGCCAACATTTCGGAACCACCTGATCACTGTCGCCCAGAAGGGACCCTGCGTGGCCCCAAAACATTGGCTGTATGACGCATGTGACAATATAAAAGTGCTTTACCTCTTGCGAGTGCTGGTGACTTCTGTTATGGACTATCCCATCTAGCAGCACCTATACATGGAGGATGTGCAACCTCTATATTGCTCCCTCTATCATGTTACAGCTCTTTTGTAATCCCAACATAGCAGCCATGAAACCTTGTGACCTACTTCCATGTTCTTCAACCTTCCTTTGCCTACTGGCTGGCATTGATTGATTTTTCTAATCTGATCTCCGCCAATAGAGAGAACATTCCCGCCTATTGGAAAATAATTGATGGCGGTGTATCCGCAGTCTTCACAGCTGCTATAAGGATCTAGAGAGAGGAAGCAATAAAGAGTTTACAACATCCTCCATGCACAGATCATAATAGGATAGAGATCAGATTGGGCTACCGAGCCTTCCACCAATTTTCACTGCGCTCCCCCGACCTACGCCGTCCATTCCGGACCGCCCTGTGCGCGGATTTTCCCCGGTCAATCGTTTTATTGTTACTATGCACGACGTACTGCATTCTAATAACACGTTAGAGCCGTGATGTATAAACAAGAACAAATGTTTCCACCGGTAGATAAATAGATAGCTGGTATTTATATATTTATATTCTAGGAAGCTGTATAAAGACCGGTTAAAAAAAAAAGAAAGAAAGAAAGAAAAAAGAAAAACCAAACTTGATTCAGAGAAAAAGAAATTTACATTATACAACACTATTTGCCAAGGCAATATAGAAGAGACCCAAATGTACACTGAGATCATTTTTTTCTTTTTCTTTTTTTACGCCCCTCCCCGGACAGTGGGGAGGCGACACAGTGACATGTACAGCCAAAAAGGTTTACAAATGTACACCTGTACAATCAACTACAAAATGAGCAAGGCTTGTAGTAAACAATGAAACTGTAAACGGTCAACTACTCATTAGTTACACTTGTACAATACAAAGCATATACTTCTATAAACAGAGAAAATTACAAACGTAAAGCAGGTCGAATATATTTATATGTATATATATTTATATATATTTGTTTTGTCATCAGCGGGTTTTTATCATGCGTAAATGTCAAGCTATCATACGGGGTTTTTTTTTTACTAACTAAAACTTTTGGCTAATGACGGCAAATTAAACAAAAAAGAATCTAAGCGGCTAATAAAAAAAGGTCACACACCGTTATATGCGAGGGAAAAGAAAAAAATACAAAAACAACGATACATCGACTTTACTACCACTGCAGAGGAAAGCGTTCATTGTCAGTGCTCAACTATGTGCTCGAGAAACAAAAGAAATGTGGAGCTGTCGTCTACGGACTGGGTACGGTCTCCTTTTATTTGTTTTATGGCCAATTTCAGAGTTATTATTACTATAGCAGCCTGAGGTTGTAACGCGTGGAATTCACCATAGCCTCCGCTGCGTGCAAAAATGGAGGGAAAAAAATTAATGGATACGGCATGATTTGCGCACTGAATCCCATTTGCTTATATGGTGAATAATGAGTAAGAATAAACATTTAATTGCTTACTTCATTCTTTAGAACCCATCTAGAATTGAATGGTGCTGTGGGCATCTGGAACTACTCATCAGAGAAATAAAAATGGCTCCACGGATTGTCCCTTTGAGTCCTCATTGTACATAAATAAGGGCTCGTACACCCATCAGTGGTGCAAAGGGTCTGAGATACGTATATCCAAGCCATTATATGAGCCGGGTTTAGCTGGGTCATATAAGGAACATGCGTCCTTCTCTGATGGACTAAAGCTGAAAGGACTCCTCTCATTGCTTCCCAACATGAGATACGTATATCCAAGCCATTATATAAGCCGGGTTTAACTGGGCCATACAAGGAACATGCGTCCTACTCTCATGGAGTAAAACCGAAAGGACTCCTCTCAGACCCCATTCACACTGAGTGATTACAGCTCAAACATCAGCTCAATGTAGCTTGTCCAATGCATTTGAATGGAGCTGTTCACATCTCAAAGTCGCCTGTAGCTCAAGCTACTCGCTTGAACATGACCTATTTTTCGGCGGATTTCGTGCGATTTGGCCCAATAGACTTCAATGGTGTAAGCTCAATGTCTCTCAACTCAAATCAGCGCTGAAAAACCACTTTTTCTGATGTAGCTCAGTGTGAATGGGGTCTCGTTGCTTCCTGACCTGAGATTCGTATATCCAAGCCATTATATAAGACGGGTTTACCGGGTCATACAAGGAACATGCGTCCTTCTCTCATGGACTAAAGCCGAAAGGACTCCTCTCAGACCCCATTCATACTGATCGATTTGTAGTGCGATTTCAGTTCAAAAATCGCTAAAACATCAGCTCAATGTAGCTCTTCCAATGCATTTCAATGGAGATGTTCACAGCTCCATGTCGTCTGTAGCATGTAGATCAAAGCTTGTCGCTTGAACATGACCTATTTTTACGGCAGATTGTGTGTGATTTGTCCCAATACACTTCAATGGTGTAAGCTCAATGTAACTCAAAGTTGCTCAGCTCAAATCAGCGCTGAAAAAGCGGATGTAGCTCAGTGTGAATGGGGTCTCATTGCTTCCTGACCCGAGATTTGTATATCCAAGCCATTATATAAGACGGGTTTAACTGGGCCATACAAGGAACATACGTCCTTCTCTCATGGACTAAAGCCAAAAGGACTCCTCTCATTGCTTCCTGAGATTTGTATATCCAAGACATTATATAAGCCGGGTTTAACTGGGCCATACAAGGAACATATGCCCTACTCTCATGGACTAAAGAACTCTAATTGCTTCCTAACCTCCACAAAATGGTAAATAAGTACGTCAATAAGACACATTTTGTTCAGATGTGTCTATAGCGTGTCCCCGATTAATCCTCGGAACATTTTAAAGCCCGATTGTAGCTTTTATGCCATGTTCATCACCAGGCTTCAGGGATCAGACTTCTGTTATACATACATCACAAAACAACATGGCTCCAGTCAAACTATTGCCACGTCCAACCATTCATTAGCCTAAAGGGCTAATGCACAGCGCCTCACAGCTTGTTGGATTACATCAGGTAACAATATGGCTCCAGTCAAACTAGTGCCACGCCACCCCCTGTATCTGCCTAAACGGCTACTGTCCAGTCCTCACAGATTTCTGGATTATGTCCAGGGCTGTGCCTCGGGTGGCTGTAGCTGCGTCATGTTCAGTGATGTGATGCCTGTAAAGAGTGTAGGCTCAAAGTAATTGAGTAAAAGTCTATGCCTGGCCACTGGGTCGGTGACGGTAGGGGGGTGTTGGGTTGCAGCTGTGCTCAGTGATGCTAAGCCTGCACTGTGAACAGGTTCCTTGTCACTGGAGACGCTCAGCCTGTGACTTCACCACCCCCCATGAGAATGAGTACCTCCAAAAAGGCAGCTACTCCGAATGGCCTTATTGGCCCGAATTACGTCAAATGACATTGTTCCAGTCAAACTGTTGGCATGTCTGACCATGCATTGGCCTGAACACTTCTCTCCAGTAAACTAGCACAGTCTACTCTAAAAAATGTGCCCGTGTATTTTCATCACCTGTAGAGATAATCTGAGAATGAAGGGAAAGAAAAAGGAAATCAAATAAAAGAAGATGCAACAAAATAAGACTCATACTATATACAAGCAGACGCTCCGCGCTCGCGGGAGACTCACCCAACTGCCAAACCAGCGTATTAAAATACTGCACTTTTCCCTTTTAAAAACTACCACTTTTTACAGGAACTTTACAAGGTAAAAATTTACAAAATATGTGACAGCTTGATACAATTACATCATTTACAGGTCCTGGTTTGTTTTTTATTATTTACTTTTTTTTTTTTAACTAACAGGCAGTTGGGTGAGTCTTCCGCTGAAGCTGGAGGCAGGCCCGAAATGTACACTCGGAGCCACAGTGAGATTTCTAGTGGGAAAACAATAAATAGTGTGGTACACGCCAGCTATTCTCCGAGGAAGCCAAGTGGGAGGGTTGGATAGCTCCTCGTAAAAGGTTCAGAGGTGTGATGAATATCTGTGTTGTACTCTTCGTTCCTCCTCTGCTACAGCATTCCATTGGAGGGCCCGACCATTGGCCCCAGGTCAGTGCTAGTCTTCATGTAATACTTCTCCAGCTTGGCCAGTATGTGTTTCCCGTAGGTATATTTACGCAGTGTGGTAATGTGTGGTCGGATCTAAGAGGAACAGAAAAAATAGGATTGCTTCAAAATAATTATGAGGATGCAAGCTTTGCAAATGGGTTCACACAACATTTAATGCCGAGATCTACTTTTCAAAATGACAAGCGCAATTACATCTCCCCTCTGGCCGTCTCTCCTCACCTCTCCCTCTCCCCACTGGCTGTCTTCCCCTCGTTCTCCCTCCCTGGCCATCTACCCTCGCTCTCACCATCCCTGGCCGCCTCCCCTTGCTCTCTCCCCCCGGCCATCTCTCCTCACCTCTCCCTCTCCCCACTGGCTGTCTTCCCCTCGTTCTCCCTCCCTGGCCATCTACCCTCGCTCTCACCACCCCCTGGCCGCCTCCCCTCGCTCTCTCCCCCCTGGCCGCCTCCCCTCGCTCTCTCTCCTCTGGCCGTCTCTCCTCACCTCTCCCTCTCTCCTCTGGCCGTCTCTCCTCACCTCTCCCTCTCCCCACTGGCTGTCTTCCCCTCACTCTCCCCCCCTGGCCATCTACCCTCGCTCTCACCACCCCCTGGCCGCCTCCCCTCGCTCTCTCCCCCCCTGGCCCTCTCTCTCCCTCCCTGGCCATCTACCCTTGCGCTCTCTCTCCCCGCCTGGCCGTTTCCCCTTGCTCTCTCCCCCCACCTGGCCCTCTACCCTCGCGCTCTCTCTCCTCCATCTCCCCTTTCAAAAGGCACTGCAAATCTTCAGCAGCTTTTTATCTGCTTCCCGGTGTTGTATCGAATTCTGTTCCCCTGTTAAGGTGTGCTCCCCCCTGCCACTCCGCTCTTTCCGTAGCCGTGTCCCTCACTCGTAGCACCACATTTTTAGCTTTGTTCCCGCTGCCGCTTGGCTACTTGCAACAATACAAATCAAGGACACAGGGAGAGAGAGTTACGGTAGGTCAATGTTACATGTTATCAATGGAACAGGAAATCAGGCAAAATCTTTCCATGAGGACACCTGGAGGGAACTTCATTTTGCTTTCATTTCCTCTCACTTCCTGTTTCTCCGGAGTAGCAGAAAAAAGGAAAGCTTGATATGTGTTTGAACTATTCCCTGGATCTGTTCACAAAGCCACACACGTTATTTTATGTGCGTTCCTTATTATATCTTATGAGAGTATTTGCATCAAAAGGTTCAGTTTAAAAAAATAACCATCACAAATAAAACCCCTCAATTTTCGGGAATTCACTGCTGACCGCTTGCCGTTCAGTTGACTTAATTACTACTGGTCGGGAATTCTTTGCCAATAACCTTCGGTTCCCATACAATTCCCTATACAGGTGCCTCTGCTACATGTGTGACCACTGGGCTATTTTCTACTGGTACCAAGCAATGAGCTGAGTGTACTTGTGTATGGTGCAGCCCACTCTGTCTTTTGTATCCTTTACCTTATGCATGATGATTTTGCGCTGAGCGGGCTCGGCCATGTCAATCATCTTCTGCACCACGTAGTTTGCATACTGGTCCTTCATCATGGTGTATAAGGCACTGTGAGGACCATCATTCTGGCAGCAGATCTCATCGATGAGCAGAGCTCTCTCCGTACGAGACGAGTGGGTGACGCACTTCTCCACAACATTGCTGACCGGAAAAGGAAGACATAGATTTATGTGAGAGACAGAAGATACAAGCCTTGGGGCACTGTTCAGAGAAATCAGCATCATTAGTCACAATCATCTGCTAAAAAAGCGCATCTGACTGATAAAGAAAACAAAATGGTGAAGCTTTAGGACAATGTTGCATAAATAATGACAACCAAACAATTTTCAAATGTGGAGGGAGCGGTGGTCTCTCTCTACATCACTTTCACTGCTTGGGTTCTTTGTAGGTGCCGGTCAGAGAGACGTCCATGCTCCACAGCAAATGCAAACCAAAAAACCAGCCGCTCACTGCCAATCTTCACCCAGAGCTTCTTTAGTTGTAAAATCCGGTCAACTTCAAACTAGCAATCCCTGCCCGCTGATCACTTACCTTAAAGCATTTCACCCAATCGGGCTTAGTCATAGCAACCGATTTTGGATTTTTTTTTTATCAGCAATGAAACTGGAATAGAATAATGTAGTCCAGGACAACAAGCAATTCCTTCCAATAGAATTCACAAACACTAAGACAGAATCTGGAGCAGTTGTCCATAGCGACCAATCAGCTTCTATCTTTTATTTTCAAACCTTAACTGGAGAGGCGCTGATTGGTTGCCATGGGCAACGACTCCAGATTCCATCTGGTCCAGTTTTGATAAATGCCCCCCTTTTTACAGTTGTGTCCTCTGGTTTCCTATGTGCTGTTTTCCTCATTGTTCGGTTAGGGCAGCAATGTGCACTCATAACTTTATGTTTAGTCATAGGATTATATTCCTTGGGACTACATGTCCTATCATTCATCGTACTGACACGAATGCATGGCCTGTTACTTATATGTGGCCGATGCGAGGACAAGAAATCAGACACCCCTCAGCTCCTCCGCCCAGCGCAGTGACCGACTCTTGGGAGACTATGTCAATCTGGTCCCTTGGAGAAGGAGCAGAGATGTGTCTTCTGTTTGTTGTCCTAGGCAGCATCATCCTCACATTGGCCTGCAGTCCTCAACTGGGCCAAGCTATGACCAAGGCCGAGGAGGTAGATATGCATCAGAAGTTTTTTATACAGATGCATGTGGAATAAAATTGGATTTTCTTTGGAAGAGCATTGTGTGCCGGCTTTGCAGTTTTTGAGACAGTTACTCCAGAAGAGTGTTATCCGTGCACCGAATGTGAATTACAAGAAACCATGACAGAGGTGAGCTGTGTGTTGTGTTTTTAGGACTCTACTGGGAGCAAGCACGAATGGGGTAGCTCCATAAGACCGACCCTACAAGCCAAGGAGCCACCCTGAAACTGCAAAGTGGGACCAGTGATTACAAAAGTGTTGGAAAAGCAACATTTCAAACAAGAAGCATCATATGAATGTGTTACACACAGGAACTGAAAGTGTAAAAAAAAAAAAAAAAAAGTTTAATACAGGGGTGGGTAACTCTGGCCCTCCAGCGGTGCTTCAACTAAAGAATCCAAACATGCCTCTGGGAGTCATGCCTGTAACTGTCTTACAATGCCTCATAGGACTTGCAGCTCCACAACAGCTGGAGGACTGGAGTTGCCCACCCCTGGTTTGATATTACTTTGAGTGCATCTTGCAAGCCTCAGTTATGATCCTAACACAAACTTATTTCTGCCTAACCAATAAACTGCAGAAATAGCTGGGACATCACTTAGCAGCACCAGAGTTTAGTGGGTTTAGTGGAGGGGAGAAGGACGTGGCCTATTCTTCCCTCCCTCCACCTCGGCCACAAAAGTACAGGTGCATTCATTAAGCAAACAAGGTAATAATTTGGATTGGCGGTTATGTAAATAAGTAACTGTCCCTAAGGACAAAATCAATAGATTATATTTACATTTGGGGGAACACAGAAATAAAGAATGTTTACCTTGCAAATTTGTGCTGACTGAGGGCTAAAACCTTTCCTCTGATCTCGGAAACAATCTTGCTCTTGTCTTCAGTGCGGCCATGTTCTAACACATGCTGTATGACATAATTACCATACTGATCCTGGAAGAAGCATTAAAAAAAAATATTCTAAATATGTCCTTTGTATTCTGAGGAAGCCAACAGTTATGCCCGGTTTAGAATAAAGTGCAAGTCAGGCCTGTCTGAGGACCCTTTCACCCCATATCACGCTGTATTTGAACACAACGTACTGCAAGGTGCATCTCCACAGCATTGTGGCGTGAAGCAGGCACAAAGGAAACAAAAGTGCCCTAACAGTGACTTGCTTTGTTCTGGTACGGAAACAAAAAACAGGTCAGGTGGACATGGTGTGAATGAGCCCTTAGTCAGAGGTCATATGAACTCACATGACGCACAATCAAAAGCCAGAAGATAGAGTGTGAGGTCACGCAGTTGACCGGACAGCAATTGTGAGACTGACCAAAGTGATCAGACACAAAGTGCGTAAAGTTTAATTAGGAGACAAATATATTTATTAGAAACATATATTTAATTAGCCTGCACAGTTCTATCAGTACAGCGCTGCATGACGGGATAAATGTCAGTCAAAGTACCGCAGCGCTGAATACTGAAAAATGGCCTGGATGGGAAGCGGGTTTAACACCGCGGATGTCAACTGGTTAAAGGCAAAATATTTGGATTGTTACAAAAACAAAATTAAAACAATCACACACACAAGGCGGCTGAAAAATTATTGTGCATGTTCCAGAGATTCACATATGTTTAAAGGAGAACTATGAGGTGAGTGCTTTTCACTCACCTCATAGTTCTAGCCGACCTGTGACAATGAGACTGTCACAGGTCGGCTCAGTAGATCGGGAGGTGAACGAACACATACCGGCGTTCGCTCACCTCTCGATCCTGTCACGGCTCTCTGCCGTGACAGGGGAGGGGCTGGATTCCCCCCGCTCCGATCTGCCAGCGCTGACTGGCAGAAAAGACGGGGGAGGGGGCGGGTACAGCTGGATACAGCTCTAGATAGGCAGAGCCATCTGTCAGTCACGCAGCTGGGCGGATCCCGGCACAATTGTCGGGATCCGCTTCAGCTGCGGCGTCTCAGTATACCGCGAGCCATAGCTCGCGGTATACTGAGCTTAGGATGACGGGAGGACGCTAGTTTGTGTCCTCCCGTTACCCTAAGGAGAACTATGGGGAAAAACCTTAACTTAATTCCACTTTCCCAGGGGCTCTTACCTTTGAATGAACACTGCTTCTGCTACGTGGCTCCCAGTATACCGTACGTACACATCATCTCATCCCTGCACTAGGTATTTCAAATTACCCTCGCAATTGGAAAGTATTCATTGGTCAGCGTGGTGACCTGACAATGATGAACAGGGCTTGCAAAATCCGCTCGTCTGTGACGAGAGGACGAGTAGCTTCCCGGCCAGCAGCTTTACATTCAAGCGATCGGGCATCTCTAGAGACGCCCGATTGCTTGTATTAGCTGCAGATTTACCACCCCCGAACCACCCATTTTTTTAGATTTGGCGGGCGTGCAGTTTTAAAGCTTAACATGTTTGGGGTCTATTTATCAGACGTGACCCCGCCTTTTATATTTTACCAAAAATATGGTTAAGTATAAATAACGGAGGGAAAAAAAAAAAAATCTAATTGCCCGAGAAGCTGGCACTATGTTGTCTGGCCGGCTTAATTGTGCTTGGCCGGGAAACCGGCTTCCCAGCCAATCAGCATTGAGCCAGTATCCCGGCCAATCAGGAAGCCAGGCTGTTTGGTCATTATTCGCCGCCGAGCTTCCTGATCAGATGGGAAGATGGCTCCATGTTCCCCCTAGGGCACTGCCGGTCAGAGGAAAATGTTCCTCTGACCGAAAGATCCAGTATCGGAGCATGTGGGGGAGTACGAGTACTCGGCCAAACACGCGGCTTCGGCACCGATAGCAGTATCAGTGCATCCCTAACTTCATGGCACACAGCTATGTCTAGGCACCATGTTGCCAGCATGCAAATGTTGGTGACAGGGGAACGTCTTCATGCCATGTGACTGTCTCGGCACTTCTGTTCTGTAGCCTCATAGCTGTATATCCGCAGTGTGAGACCATCTATGGAACGGCTACTTTTGAATGCTAAGCACAAAATAAAAAACTTGGTGATGTAACTACTGAGGACATACAGTGGAAGGATTTCTATGCTTTTGCTTCATTCATCCTGTAGATCTGCGCTTCCTCCAACTCTCCAGCTGCTTCTTGATCATTACTCCACCAGTCATTAGGGGCAGCTCTGAGAAGAGAAAGCAAAGCCCTGCTCCTCTACCAAGTTGTCTGCCTCCATTGTAAATCAGTAATAGGGAAACAAAGTGGCAGGGAGACTACAAGTAATACTGGTGACCATTCCTTTGCCCTTGTTCTGTTTTTCTAGGACACCGCTTCCAGATTTCACCTCCCCTTAAGTGAATAAGCACACCATTCCAAATAATGTAAGATGAAGGAAGGCCTAATTCATTAATAGTAATCACCAAGATCCTCCATGTGGATTAAGGGAAGTTTTACCTGCACCAGCTGCTCTGTGCTTTGATGTAGCTCCTCCAGAATTGGCAGAGTCTGTTCCACAGTGCAATGTTCCAGAATGCGCTGTATTACTCTGCAGCCATAGGGGTGAGTGGAGAGTACATAGACCTGAGTGACAAAACAAAATATGTGAGCAACGTAAAAATCCCACACCCCAGAAACCGTCCAATGCCACAGTGAAGGATGTGCGGGCTTGAGGACTACCTAATGAGAATGCTAGCTGCCTGGCAATCTTGCTGAGTCTCTGCATTCAATACTCAGGATACTCACATTGGTGCAGTGCTTTTAAGTGTGTTCATTTTAATCGGTCAAAGCAACACAGGAAAATGCGTCTCTACAACTTTTCCCCTCAATATGCAGAACAATGTAAAGAGTTGTAGGTTTAATGCAGGAGTGCTGTACACATCTGATATGGTGGCATTATGTTAAACAAATCCTGGACTCTGGAAAACATACCCTTGTAGTGGGGCTATGCCGCACTGCGTCCTCACACCTAAGACAAGTCAATAGACCTGCATTAGACGTGAAGACATCAGCAGTCCTTAGACAGCAGGAGCCCAGGGAAGAGGAGCGGTGGGGACCAGTCTAGTAGACCAGCGGGATAGAGAATCCGGTAAGTATATCTACTTTAGTTGCGCCCTCCAGACAAAATGAGCACTTGGGCCCTGCAGTGCAGTGTTTAAATGTCTATATTTCTTCTTTATCGCACATTATGGCAACATTTGTTTTACCTCTGATTACCACAGCATATAGATCTCAACCTGGTCTAAATATTATACACTTGTCTAGAGCCAGACTATACTTAAGCCAGGGAATCTGCAGGAAAGCCAGACAATGATCATTTTCAGAGGTGGATCAGTTGTCATAGCCTGCGTATTTATCGGATTTTCTTTGAGTATTTTTGTATCACAGGTCAGTGCGCGAGTCATCTACAAGGTTCCTCCTCTAAGACCATGCAAAGTGGCAAGGGGACAAGCTTTCCTTTGCGATAAGTGGTTTCATCTCTGTTACTGCGAGGATGATCTGATTCTGCCATTTCCTGCCAACAGAGGTGTTGATGGATAATGGTAACGTGAATTTAAAATGTGCATGGCATGCATTCTATGCTAGAAATGCGCTTTTCTTAAAAGGAGAACTATGAGGCGAGTGATTTTCACTCACCTCATAGTTGGAGCCGACGTGCGACATTGAAACTGTCACATGTCGGCTCTACAGATCAGGAAGTGAGCCAACGCATACCGTCGCTCGCTCACTTTCCGATCAATTCCCTGCAGAGAGCCCTGACTGACAGTCACGGCTCTCTGCAGGGATCCCCTCCCCAATTCTCCAGCGCTGACTGGAGGAATGAACAAGGGAGGGAGCGGGCACAGCTGGCTCTGCCTCTAGATAGGCAGAGCCAGCTGTCAATCAGCCAGCTGTGTGAATCTCTACAGTATTGTCGGGATCCGTCCTGGCTGTGGCGGTCTCAGTATATAGCGAGCTATACATAGGGAGGTGGTTAGTATATGTCCTCCCGTGACCCTTAAGAGAACTGTGGGATAAAAACGTTACCCCATAGTACTCTTAAGTTTATCTTGCGGTTACAGCTGGGGGTCAAAAAAGCTTTGACGTCCCCTTTGAAACTAAACTTGTAGCTACCTACCTTGAACTTTATACCTACTTCTGGATCAACAGCACCAACATTTCTACAAACCCACCTGTCCTTTGAAGGCATCAATGATGAACTGGAGGGACTGCGGCTGGACACATTCGATACATTTTTGCACCACGTGGTTTCCGTTCTGATCTTTCACACACTTCAGAACATGTCCATCCAGCTCCCTCACCATCTCACTCTGCAAAACAAACATAATCTGATCAATTCCCTGCAACAAAAACCACAAAAGGCTTCCATCATTCGTTCGTATTAGGTAGTAGGCAAGATATTTAAATTAATTTTTAATTCTTAAGTTTAGCGTCACATTAACCACTTGAGTACTGGCCTGTATGTACCGCTCCACTACCAGGTCAGTTTTCGGTGCTGTGATAGTTTGACAATTACTTAGGCAACACTGTACCCAAATTATATATCACTTAAAGGATATAGCTTCCTTTTTGGTGATTTTTAATAACCACCTTTTTTTATTAACAGAAAAAGATCAAACCTTTGGGCTTGCTTACATTTATTTGCCTTTACAAAATATTCCTAGCCTCATTGGTGATCAGGGGCACTTAAAACTCCAATCACCGCCCACCCCCACCTTTAAAAAGAAACAATCCCACAACCATTTAGGCAGGATCACTTTGAGCCCCCCCCCCCCCCCCCCCCCCCCCCCCTTGGCTCTCCCATC